CAGGAAAGAATGAGTAGGAAATTAAATTCTTCCCACTTGTGTCAGATCTGCCCTTATATAAACACATTAACAGTAATTTCATGAGGCGTCAAACATAGGAATAAATACTGAGGGATAAAATAATGAGGTGTTGCTATTGAGCTGAACTGTTGCAGCTAATATTACTGTGTATGAATTATGCAGCCTGAAAGAAGGCATATGTTACAGCACTCAAACAGTCGCTTCACCAGCTTCTTCTGATCGTTAAGTTTTCGGTCCCCTAGGTGAATCCATCCTTCTTCCCACTGCAAGGCCAGTGCAACATTTAAGTAAACACACAGGAACACATACACACACATACACACATACTAAGCTGTTCATAGGAGGCCAAATTCTTGCTAGAATTCCAGTTAAGTCACTGAAGTTACACCAGAGATTAATTTTGTTGAATGTTGAACAGACATTCAATTCCATTTTTAGAATAATAGCACATTTATTAAGGTCTTTGGCTGAAGTTTTAAAGTTACACTAATGTAAACAAGAACATTTTGTTTGTAATTTGCCACATCTATTACAGCTTTACTAGGACTCCAATTAGAAACCTAAGGTTCATTTAGTACACACACATCTGGTACTGATTTAAAATGACTTTCCTTTTTCATCTAAGGACAGAAAATGACCTAAGTAGCCTTTTTACCCAGTTTGAACCAGCGTTCTGTCTGAAAGCCACAGACTCGACCATTTAGCATGCTGAACCCTCTTCCCTGGGGGCTGTTTTTCTCCCCTTTGCAGCAAAAATGTGTGCAAAGGGCAAAGATGTACATAAATAAGCTATAAAAATGGGATGCACAGAAGTATAGTACTAACTATACTAAGGAGAAAACAGTGTTTGTGATCATAAGAGAGGAACTAGAAAAGCCACTGAAAATATCCCTGTGCTATCGCTACAGCACTGAGGAGAATGTACCCCAACATACTACTGCTACAGCTGCCTTCCATTCACAGGTATATTAAGCTGAACAGTTTTAGAAAATATTTACAGTGAAAAATGAAGGAAAATGCACAGTCCCTGCGTCTGATCATGTGTAATTATTGTACTTAATTCAGAATTTGAGAAGAAACCATGACAAAGTCCACCATGACCACTAAAGTCCCTTTAATTTCTAGACTCCTCTGTGTAGATAGGTTTGGACAAACAAAACACAAACACACACCAGTGTTGTTTGCAAATGGCCCTTGTACACTCAGAAATTAATGGGAACAGTTACATCATACGACTCAAAAATGCAAATGTCTTCATATGGTAAAATGATAGTGGAAGTACACTGGTACCTGCTTTAATCTAATAAATTGCAATATTCTCATGGTGAGAGCATCAGAGTGAGATACATTTTAAGTATAACTCCCCCCTAACTTCAGTAAGGCATCCACCATCATCTAGTTCATAATGTTTCCTTTTTTGTCATTCAAATCCTTTTTTCTCAAACAACATTTTCCTAGTTTCTTCACAGTTTGAAAAACATATGTGGTTCTTGCACAAACTCTTTCAAGCTGCAGTCTAAGATGCCAGGTTATCAAAATTTTTTTGCAAAAGCTTGGACATACTTATACTGCCCTTAGGTTGTCACTGTACTGAGTTTCAATACCTTTATTTATTCTGTGGTCAATCTTCAGGAATAAACAAGAAGAATTCTATGCATTTCAGAAAAAGCTGGCTCAGGTCATAGGAACAAAGAAGATTTCATTTTGGCATGGAACATGAAGTTATTCTTCTTTCTCAATAGCTGCATTATGTTCTACTTTCTGATTCATTTATATTTACTATTTAAATAGTAAAAGGAGTTCCAATTCAGGAAACGTAATTTGGAAACATAATTCTATTTAAATTCCAGAATAAGCATTAGCTTCCAAAACATAAAAGCCAGAAGCTTTATGATAATTGAATCCTTTTCAGCAAGTATAATTCATCAATAAAGTATTCCTCTAATGATGTTATTGTTTCTTTATTTAACTGTTTTTGAATTTCTGAAGCTTCTTCAATGCCAAATTCCAAATGCTACATTAATCATTTGTATTTTTAGAGTCCAATTTTCCTACTAGAGACATAGATTTCATAACAGTTACTAATGCTCTGGATCTGAAAAATTAGGCCTTTAAAATACAGACTATCTAGTCAGTTAAGATGTCTTGTAATCATTACTTTGTACTATTAGATCTCTAATGGAATACAGAATGAGTTTAAATTTATTCTAGAAAATAGGATTGCCAATTTTTTAAAATAAGGACTATCTTTTATTCTTTTTGTACAGTGCTAGATTAGAAAGGGCCTGGGCCTGGAGTTTTAACAATGTGCTTAATAGATGATAATGAATAGGCAAAATGAGTCAAAGAGCAACAAAGATATGCTAACCCAAACTCTTGGAATAATTGGCTTAAAAATCTAGTTGCAGCCATTTTTTCATGGATGTGTCATGCGGATTCCATAACACATCATTCCGCTGCGTTCCAACTTAAATTAAGGACAACAGAGATAAGGAAAATAAATTTCGTTCTGCTGTTCCAGTGTAGGACTTATTCAATTATAGCTTTCAACTACAAATAGGAAATTCAAGTTAAAGCTGGAAATTTTAGAGTTTTATGCACTTTTCTTAAACAGAATTCTATGGAAAGACTTCAATTTTCTGCTGGTACTACTAACATGACAAGTTCAAAGGAAATGTGCATTTTATAGTCTTTTAGGTTTATCTCCATTATATGGTCTTGGAGTATTATTCATGAAGTCAAGTTTTCTGCTTTGTAGGCGAAGTAAATATTATGGAAGGAAAAACTGCACCACTGCAACAGACACAAATTAAGGGTTTTTATGAAAAATGGTGGAGACAACCAAGCACAAGATCTTGCTTGGTGTCATCACTAGAGAGATGTAAGATTAACAAATTCTTGAGAAATCCAGGTCTCTGCCTTTCACCGTTTCAGGAAAAATTGGATCCACAATCCCACAGGCAAGCAAGATGGGTCCAAGATACAGATCTAACTACTTGGAGCACTCCTCAGGTATGTGTTTGGGTGTGCAGGTTTCAACATGGGGAGTGATTCTGGGCAGGTACGCAGGACAAGGAGGGATGGCATCAAAACCTCTTGCTTGCGAACTTAACTAAAAGCATAGTCAGCATTTTTTCTGAATCAAAAGTGAACACTCATCATCACGGTCCCCAAAAGTAATGTTTGACTATGAGAGAACTGCTGTACTGGGAAGGTCTAAACAACCTGTCAGATCAAGGATGTAACCTTGGCCTTTGCTGGACATATTAAAAAAGGCAGAAGGAAGAGACAACACAATAAAATAACCCTAATGTGCCAGGCCAAGTGAATTCTTTGACCCCTGTGTTCAGAAAGCTACCTTTCCTCCACCTTCCAAATGCTGACCTTATTCAACGGTGAATATTAGACAGAATAAGCTTTTTTTTTTAGTTAGTCAATGAGTGCCAAATCTTGATTTTTATTACACTGTTATCTTTAACAGGGGTCTAGATGTACCTACACCATCCAGTTATTAGCAAAGAAAACCTTTTTTTTCAAGTCCAAATGATTTTACCTACCAAAAAATCATAGCAGTATTTTCCTTTGAATTCTTAGTCTTTTAACTATAATTGTTAGTAATAATATGCTCAGTGTGAATGAATGAGATGCAGTTTTGTCCCAGTATTTTTTCTCTCTCTGTGCTGACATCAACCCCCACCCAGGCCTCCTGCAGCCGATATAACTCTCACTCAGCACATCTTTCTCTCCATATCTGTTTCCTTCTTAAAGTTCCCATTTCTTTATCTACCCAATCAATTCTAGTAAAAATGCAACCAATGACAACAGAAAAGCAATGGTATGCTACAGCGAGGATGAATGGTATTTGCCAACTGTCACCACCTTAAACTCATGAATGCAGTGAGATTCACCCAGAGTTGCCCACTTTCACATGGGATCTGACTGACTCGGAAGGATTTCTGCAAAGGTTCAGATCTGCCGACCTTGTTGCAGAACCAAGGCCCTTCCATGGAGGACGGAAGTAACCATGGGATGTGATTTTCACAGCCTACATGTATGCTGTGCAAGAGGATGCCCCAGAACACTGTCGATCTGCCAGGGTCCACCATAGGTCTCTTTGGGTCAACACATCTGTAATTCCTTTCATAAAAGCCAGATGGGTCAGGAGAAGGTGTGAGCCCATCTCCCCTTCTGGCATCGTGGAGCAGGGGAACATCTGCAACTGGAAGCTCGGATATGTGTCAGGTCCCACTGTACAGACATGATTTTTGGCAGGAAGGTCCTCCTACACCACAATGTCATAGACAGGGCAATGTCGTCATAAAATCTTAGGCCCACCAATTTCAGCATAAACCAATCCTAAATATAATCCTAAAGCTTGTGTCACACCCCAAAACTAAAAAACTCTTTTAGTGGTTTCATACAGAAGAAATGAAACGATACTCTCCTTATCTTAGGCTCTTTAAATCATATTCCCGAGATGGCACATATTCAAGTTTCATCCCGGCAAACAAAAGAAGCTGCCTACAGTGCTTAGATGACCCTGATAACACTTTCCTGAAACAAAGCCTCTGAGCTACAGCACATTTTGTACCTGTTTTTGTTCTTCTCCTAAGCCGTCCCACATTGAAGCTACAATTTTTGAGACTTCACCAAAAGTAGCATTGGGGTTTTGGCCTTTGATGGCTGCTTGAGTGTCTCGAAAGAATAATGCATAAGCAGACACAGGCTTCTGTGGCTCATTTGGGTCCTTCTTCTTCTTCTTTTTGGGAGTTTTGGGTTTCTTTCCCATATCTGAAGCAGGTCTCTTCTCTCCACCATTGACCTGTAACACAAAATTAGAAAAGTACTATAAAAAAAGCCAATTTAATTCAGTCCATCCATCATTACAGCTTCTGTGATACAAACAGATTTTGGATTTTGCATGCAAAAATGGAATTTTAGTTGTTATCTTTGATAATCCAAATGTTGACACCATGTCACATGTATAAAACTCATTATAAGTATTTCAGACTATGTAATTTTTTCCCTCAAAGTGCTTTATATTTTGCTTTCATATAATTGTTATAATCTCATTTATAGTTCATCTGGTCATCTTTTCACCTTTTCTAAGTTTTATTGCTAATGGCTATAACATGCATATAATGAGTAAATTCAAATGAAATTAGTTTCATTATATCCTGACCACCAGTTCAACCACATGAATCACCTGCAGATAGCAGGAACACTGTCATATCTACCCTTCCCTTATCCTCACCCTTTCCCAGAACTACCCCAGACTGGTGTTCAAATCAATTTCTACTGCAACTGGTGGTACACCTTCCAGGGAATTTGAAGATAATTTGGTTGTGAATAAAACAATTCAAGTTATAGACATTCCCCTGCACACCTTCTAATTAAAATCTGAAGAAACAAAGCTTTACCAGTACAGACAGTTTGGACCCCTTTACAGGATCAGTTCTGATCCATCTGGATTTAGCTGCATAGTTTTTTCCTCTGCTCATGTAAAAGAAAATTCACGATGGTTTGAGAAAAGGGGTGAAAGAGGAACGGTATATGAAGAGAAGTGCATGTGCATTATTTGTGTACCACCTGGAAAAAAATGCACATGAGCATTTGTGCAAATTTGTTTAATGCAACTATGCTTTGCCACTAGCTCAGAGACCCTGATCACCAAAGCACCTTACTTTCTTAGATGACTTACAAGCACAAAAAAGGACACTTGTCCTGATTCTTCAACAGATTGCAGCTCCATGGCAAAGCAGCTTCTCTTTATATGATCACTTAATTCACTATACCTTGTAGCAATGACGTGTGATCTTACCAGAGGGTTCAAAGGCTTTTTTCTCTTGTTGGCATGGCCAGAGTACTGCGCATCATAAGCGTTTTGAAGTATGAGAAGATCAAGAGCATAAAAGGTATGCTCTAGGCTAAGGATCTACTAGGTAGGACTTTTATCACGTCCTCGTATTATTATTTTTTAATAATGCATATCAAGTGATACAGGAGAACATCGGTGTTCAAATCAGTGGAACTGCATGAGGAAAATGGCTGGAAATTCTCATTTTGAGCAAAAAACTTTTTTATTTTTCTATATACATCACTGTGTGGTGTCCAACAGGGCCCAGGTGACTACAGTGAACAACTTGGATATCTGTGGTTTACTGAGCACAGCAATAAAGTGATGACGACAATTTGAAAATGAAGTTGCTTGTTTCCTGAGCATTATGTTACAGTAGATGCATCTTTAATACAAGGTTAATGGCCGTGGAGCCTATTGGCAGCATTTTGGACAACATGGAAAAACAGCAGCAGTGTGCTACCCATTATTAAGTTATCCAACTTTTAGTCTCTTGCTATTATTTCATTCTACAGGACACACAAAGCTACCAGCTAAATGGTAATTAACTAGGGCTCCCTAGTTAATTTGGCAATATCAGTCTGTTCTTCAGACAGTTCTATGCAAACTCCATGAGCAAGGAGGCTTGACAATAGTTTGGGCTATAGTTAAAATTTTACCTCTATTATTTGCTAAAGTTCTCCTCTTTTCAGAGTATTTTTGGACCAATGAGATTTAAAGGTCTCTATATTAGGATACCACATTACTTAAACTACCCTTAAACTAGGTGATATGCTGCAGAAACTTGTGTAAGAAGTCTTCTGGTAAGCTGTTCTGAAAACAGCCCTAAAATCTTATTCTCCAACCTGAATGATCAAGAGACTTCAAAAACCCACTGTTAAAAAGAGAGTACTCACAGGGGAAATTCTGTTTTTCTTATATGAAAATAACGAAATAAAAAGAATACCAGAATTCCAGTACTAATAACCTTGCAAATGGCTGAGATGATGGCCTACCTTATGCTGCCATCAGTCTATCAGCTTCATAGACTCCAATTCTAACCACCAAAGCAGAGACAGATGGGAAATAAAATAAAAACCATATATATTCTGCTAGGCATAGACTTGTGCCTCAAAATCCCTGGAGGTGTAGTTAGCTCATGGTAATCCACCTCCTGTCACAGCTTATTGCTTAATTATGGTGATGTATTTAACTTATTTATCACAAGAAAGCAATAATCTTTCACTTTAAAAAAGTGTACATTAACCATGTTGCACACATAATAGATCACCAGAATATCTAGTGTAGGATTTAAAACTATCGAGTAAGGCATGTCGTTGATATCTAAATGTCCCTTGAGAAGGTGGAAAATGTCTATAAGCATATTTAAAATAAACTGCAATAGTACCAAAGCCTTTAATGGAGCTAGGAGAGCTGTTTTATGCACACTATCTTGCAGTAATCGCTGTAGTTTAAAATAGATTTTAATCAAGCACCATCTGCATAATAGGCTGAACAGACAACATAGAATTCTACTTATAACTCTTATCATATAAAGTAAATATTGTAAAACCTCTACCACATAAAGAGAATATGCTGCAGCAGTTCTTTAGTAATTGTCTTTCTGTTAGTTAATTCTTGCTACTTGCAGTCCTCTCACTATCTTCCCGCTAAAATACATTATTTGAAATTCTCTTATAAGTGATATGCAAATGAGCATGGAAGAAAACACTGTTATCCATCTATGAAGAAATACATATTTGCAAACCAGTAATGCTTCCAGCAGCTCACAATTATGCTTGGCAATAACCGAATACATGTTTAACGATCCAACAGTATGAATTATGGCAAGAATTACATAAATGTAATATTCCAATGTTGAGGTGGTCAGAATAAAGCATGTGGTAAGTGGCCACTTTGTTTAGAATGTTTTTAAAGTTACTTACAACTATTGATTTTTAAGCTCTCCCTTTTTTCTTCTTCTAACCATAATCCCACATACTAGGTTTAGAAGAATTAAGGAGACTTAGGGATGTACACCACTTGCAGAAACAATATCCTTGGTCTGAGACTACATTTCATATTTCCATGGACCTAGCAGCTTTCTGACTGTATATACATCACCTTATAATTTTGGTACTGTTGTCATTGATCTTATGGTCAAGCAAACCTCAGCTGTCTTGCTTTTAGAGTAACAGTGTGTAGGGCAACTGAGCCCTCTATAATGCAGGTCCTCTCCCTTTTTTGTGCAAGGGAATATATGACGTTTAAAGTCCAAAAGGCCTATATGAAAGAGCCTTTATGAGACTGAGTATTGACAAAAAATATTTAGCAGCTGCTGCCATTAGTTCTGTGTATGTTGGATAAGGCTTACAACAATTTGAATATTTACTATAGAATGAACACCCAAGAAGCTCAGTACATGAACAATTACATCAGTTTGTAAAGTTTCCTTATTGCTGGCATTTGGAATATGTACGTTAAGCTGAAATGGTCATTTCCTCCATGCGTGAAATCAGTGGTTCACTAGGGATACAATTATATTTCTAGTCCAAATGTATATAATGTACATATTCGTTCATACCTTCTGTCATCCTCTTTCTATAAATTCATGCAACCATGAACAGGACACTGAGATTTCTGGGTTTTTTTTCCTCTAAATAGAAATAGGTATAGTTGTTAGGGATTTCTCTACCAAATTGCTATCAAAGGACCAGTGGCTTCTCTTTCATACGTAAGGCTGGGTGTTCAGCTGGTATAAACTAAGGGAGATCATCTGACACTGAGGTGATTTTCCATTTGAAAATGTACTTTGTCTTTTTGATCAATGTTGGTACATAGGTAAACATCTTCTGCTGGTTAAATAGGGAGAACGTCACTGTTGCTATTAACAATATGGTGAATTCAGTTGTTTTTTACACAGTCCTCACGGCAGAAACATCTTACTGACTTCATGAAGCTGCTCAAATGCGGTGAGCTCCAGCAGCTACTACATGACTGCAATACGTGCACGGACTGAATAATGAGCTCTGGCCCTGAGCTATTAAGTAATATCACACATCTACACAACAGTTTATAAAACAAAGAGAAAACTCCAAATTTAGCAAAGTTATATTGTGGTAAAAGAGGTTCTCACAAGAGAACGACCGCTTTATCTCTTGCTGTCCCCATCCAGTGCCTTCTTTCACGGGGAAGAGGATTTTTTGGAGTGAGAAGAAGCCTCCAAAACAGCTCTGAGAAAATTTAATACTGTTGTGGCTGGGGAAAAGGATCTCCACAGAAAGCTGGTTTCTTCTTCTTCTTTATCCATTCATTAGCAGCTTCCAGGAAGGGCAGCGTGACAGAAAGATACACAGCAGAGGGGTTTAAATCGTAAACTACAACAATACACTAGCTTCTTACACTGATTATTCAAACCCTCTTGTCTTTTACAGAGGGAACTACAGCAGAATCACTGCATTGGATCAGGCGTGCCAGCCCACTGCCTGATGGTGGCCAATTTCAGGTGTTTTCAGGAGGACCTAAGAAATCCCACAGAAGACAGGTATGGCATAATCTGCCTCCATTAAAGCTTGCATTTTGATCCCTACTAGTTGGAGACTAATTTAAGCCCTCTATCATTATTAACCAAGTTTAATATCCTTTAAAACACTTCTTTTAGCAGAGAAATTATAATTATCAGAGAATTTTAAGGCAACATATCAACTTCAGCATACTGAAGTATTTTTTTTAATTTTGTGTTGTGTATTGTACCTTTTCTCATCTTTTTCTGCTTAGACTAAGCATGAGAGAATTTTAAAGAGAGTCTTCCAAAATAACATGGCTTGTTAAAAAGTTGAACATTATATAAACTGGCTTCCACAAAGAAAGGACCAAGTTTTACTTGGTCTGCAGTGCTTAGTATTTCTTTATTGAAAACATTAGCTTCAGATAAGTACTGTCTGCATGAAACCACAACCCTACACTTCTGCTAGCACAAAGTGTTGCAGTGAAAAAGTACATGAAAAATATGGGTTAAATAACTGAAATATTTGATAGAAGCAGAAAGAGTATCTTAATTATTTAAGTGGATGTTTTCTCCACAAGTTTAGAGCATCTTGCACACTCCCACCAATATATGTAAAAATATTAGCAAAGCAATAGGAGTAGCAAATAAATTATTCTGAAAAAGTAAAGCTTTCCTGGAATTATTTTTACATAGCTGTATTCTAAAGTCTCCCTCACTAAGGAAAGGTTCATTTAAAGTGTATGAATTATTCAGTAATTTTTAAAACCTAAAGTTTGTGAAATCAGGGAAAGTCCTGAAATAAAACTTTTGAATCAGAATTTATTCCAAATGTAGTATAACATGTGTCTCCAATTACATGATTATTTTATAACTTGAGGCAAGAAAAACAATATAATTTGAAAACAGATCAGACTTACATTTCTTGACTGGATTATGTGACTCCTCAGTGACTCACAGTATGTTTTCTTCACATTCCTTGCAAGTCTGCAACTTTTCCCCACAAGACATGGCCATGGTACAACATCTTCACTACACTACAAGACTGCTGTAAGAGGACTGCTATTTTGTAGTGACCATAAAATAGAGCTAAAGAGGTTCTCAATTTCAATATGCTCTATTCCTGGTTTATGGGATGACTTTGTGCTAAGTTCCAATCTTTTTGTGTCTCAGCTTTTGTGTCTGCAAAATTAAGATAATATACTTGTGTATTTTGGGGGAAGTTTTCAGGATTTGTGGAGGTTTGGGAGATTTTTGCATGCAAAACCTGCTATATAAACTGACATTTATCCTTCAAATAAATGTCTTGTTTATTATTTAAATTACTATTATTTCTTCATGCCTATACTGACACTAAAATGACGCTTAAATATGTCATGCTGGAGCGTCAGCACCTCCCAGATATAAATGCATAATGGGTCTTCAAGATTTTGAAGGTAAGATTTTTAAAGTTCGTAGAGGATCTTTCTGTTCTGGTTGCTATGATGTTCTGTTTACTCATTCTGTGACCAAGTAGAAAAGACTAGCATATTGTACAGACTGTTCATACTTTTTATAGCAGTAACTTGATCTTTAACTGGGAACAAACATCCCTTCTATGCAAGTGAGAAAACTCAACCTTCATATTGAAGTCCTAAAGGAATGGCTATCCTTTTAGTGTTTTACAGGATTCTAGTTTGCTCTCACGAAGAGGAATGATGTCATTTACTCAAGCTGCCTGAAGAATTGACTGGAAACTGTAAGTTCTGTATTCATAACCCTTTATTCACTTCAGTCAACCACCAACAATGTATAAAGTATCACCTTAATAACTGTGGCCATACGATTCATTAGCAGGTCCTAAAAATATTCACTACTTACATATTAATCCTAGCATCTAAGCCTACCTTAGAGCTATCTTCTCCTTCATCTTCATGGACTGAACTGGATGGTGAAGGAGTTGCAGATTTGCTTCCAGGTGGAGAGGGCGAGTTGTGAGGAACATTGTTTGCACCCATATTCAAACCAAGCTGTGCACTGAGCTGGGACTGGTTAATAGTAGTCAGCTGCCCGTGCTGCATCATTCCTGGCTGCCTAATATCTGCAGGTTGAACCCTTGGCCTCATGGTTGCCATCTGAGGATGGGAACTATACTGGGCTCCTTCTGTATTCCGTAAATCTTGCATCTACAAGAGGAAAAAAACTGTATTAAGTATATCACTAATAAAGTGTTCTGTTCATTTAGACCTCTGTTGGCCTGATTGGCTATATAAGGCTTAAAAGAAATGGCAAGTACTTAAATAAACATGTAAATACTGGAAACAAACAGAGTAAGGATATGATTGACATTTGCATAACACTGACTGTTATAAACTATTCAGGCTGTAGCCTCAGCCCTTGGGAATAGCAAAAAGCAGTGAAAGCTTGTTTCTTTACAGGGGGAACAAAAGGGCACTGCTTTCTGTAACTGCGTGTAGAGTATTTCAGAAATGCTAACAAACAGGGGCAGGTTTGCAGTCTGAAGTTTAGAACCAGATCAGAACATGAATACCCTCAAAATTCAAGACAATTTCCAGATCCTGCTTTTTCTTCTTAGGATTTTTGTGTGTGTGAAGTGTGAATTTTGGAGCTGCAGTTTTCAGAGTTTGAATATCTAGTGTTAGGTTCAAATCTATTTTTCCTGGTGCTGCCCAGTGAGATACTGGAATTTTCAGGATTCAGACGACTGACAAGAAGGATGCATTGATAGACTGATTAAATGATTTCTGAGTTGATTTGCTGCTAAGACATATATGAATGGAAAGCTCAGAAGTCACGGGATTGACAAATGAATCCATTGTGCTATGTGGGTCACCGCTTCTTAGCATTAACGAGACATACTATTTTAATGCAAGCAACAAATTCAGTCTCTGCAAGGATAAGAATTAAAAGCACTGGAGGATGAAACTCCTTTCTTGTCCAGAGGTCAAATGTGCTATACACACACACTACAGCAGATTGCTTGTAACGTTTTTTAAGTATACTCATACAGGAACATGACAAATAGCAAAGAGTATCAGGGAGAAGCTCAGATTTAAGCTAAGGTGTTCTGTGGGTGATTTAAAATTGAAGTGTCAATTCAGAGCTGAAATGAAATAGATATAGTTGTCTTTCTGTGCATCAGACAAACATGCCATATGTATCGAGTGGAATCTGACAGGAACTACCATTGTGTAAGCTCCATTACGATAAGGACCTGTGTTAATGGTCCAATATATTAACATAACCACATTTATTCTGCTGACAGTCTTTGTTAGACATGTCATCTGAATCGTCCAAAGATCACTCAGATTTTTTTTTTTTAAAACTTTTTATAGCTTGTGACTTCTATAAGCTATCTCTCTCTCATACACACGCTCCTATATATCACAGCAATCTGTAAGATACCTTTCAACCAGTAACGCACAGAAAAAGAAAAGATAAACCTGTAACTTCACCTTTTCTCTTATTATTGATAGTGTAAAAAATTATCAATTTTAGGGAGATACTTTATGAGCTTAGGGATTGATTTTTGTAAAGCTGACTGGTTGGCAGTAAATCAAACTAATACTACCATTAGTTATGGCATACTTACCACTTTACACGTACGTGTGTCTCTGAAAAGTATTTGAAATGGCTTCTGACAACGTGACATCACAATTATACCTGTATTTATATTGCTTTAGAAATTGATAGCTTTTGGTAAAAAAGGGTTATCGATACAAACATGTTCAAGTTCATTTAATGACTACTAAAGCACTGGAGGACAGGAGCAGAGACAGTGCAGTGTATGAAATCAATTGAAGGCTGAAATTTGAATCCTGGCAGACATTTATATTTTTAAAGATTGCTACTGACTTCTTCTTCCCCTCCCTCCAGTATCACTCCCCTCCTCACCAAACATATTAGCCTTGAAAGTTACCATTATCCCTGCCTCTGGCAGACAACCCGCATCAAAACAGTTGTGCCCATGAAGCTGTAACTACTGCTCAGCCATTTTGCTCCGGATCCAGCTGTTGGGCTGGGCGGCAGTTTGGGAACGGGGAGCGGAAGCATGGGCTGCCCCAGGCCCTCTTGGCCAGGGGATGGAAACCCACCTGGTCTCTCGCGTGCTGGGGAGAGGGAGGCAAAACCCTCCCAAAAGCCCTCCCTTTACCCCGTCTGCGGCGCTTGACCCTCAGCGTGGGTGTGTGCCCACCCTGCAGGGGCCGAGCCCACGCTGCCCCACTTGCAATGCCTTGGGTTTTGTGGGGCAGCACCTTGTGGTGCCGGATCGGGGCTGGGAATAAACCACTTCACAAAAGACTGGAAAAGCAAGACTGCTTTTTAATAAGAATACGCATCCTAATGATTTTATGAACTCTAGAAAGGAAACAAGCACTATTTGAAACTCCTAACAACTCTTATTTTGAATGAACTTGCAAAGTATCTACCTCTGAAAGCAGGGCAAATGTTATAATTTTAATTACTTTTCTCCAAGTAAAATATAATACAATTGCTATTATTCAAATTATCTCTCCTTTATTAAAAACTCTTCATCCGAGCTTCAAATATTATCAGATAGATACTGCAGAACATTCTGTGTTTGTCTTCTTTAAACAACATATACTTTTAAACAGTCTGTGATTCACTTTTAGCTCCAGCACTGAACACACCCTGTGTTTTCAAATAACATGACACTAACTGGACAGTACTGGATGTATCCCCATACAAAACACATGTGTATATATATTTGCAAGAGAACCCTTCACTAGTGAAATTCTGAGGACTGCAAATGAGGTGGTGCAGAAGAAAAAAACCCAGTATTTTTCTTTTCACGTGAATTCAGCTTGTCTTCTAAATTTTTAAATCAGATGAATACCAGGCTACCTTTACAAAACCAGGTGTAAGCAGCAATGTCCTGGTTTTGAATGGGATAGAGTTAATTTTCTTTCTAGTAGCTGGTGTGGAGCTGGGCTTTGGGTTTGGTATGAGAGGAATGTTGATGGCACATCGATGCTTTAGTTGTTGTTAAGCGGTGATTACACTGGTCAAGGACTTTTTGGCTTCCCATGCTCTGCTGGGTGCACGAGAAGCTGGGAGGAAACATAGCCAGGACAGCTAACCCAACTGGCCAATGGGGTATTCCATACCATATGATGTCATGTTCAGTTTATAAACTAGGAGGCGTGGTTCGGGAAGGGGGATTCGCGGCTCTGGGTACAGGATGGGCGTCGGTCGGTGGGCGGTGAGCAGTTGCATTGTGCATCGCCTGCTTTGTACATTCTATTATTGTTGTTGTTATTATTATTATTATTACTACTGTTCTACTTTCTTTTATTTCAATTATTAAACTGTTTTTATCTCAACCCACGAGTTTTCCCACTTTTGCCCTCCCGATTCTCTCTCCCATCTGACTGGATGTGGGGAGTGAGCGAGCAGCTGTGTGGTGTTTAGTTGCTGGGTAGGGTTAAACCATGACAAGCAAGTAAGTTTGTTTAACAGTACATGTTCCCTTTTAGATGCTAAGCTAGAAACCCTCACCTAAGGGACCTGCCTGCAGAGAACAAGCCAGTGTAAGTCCACTGCACAGAGCTGTGGCCCTCAGCAAGGAGGATCCACATCTGCAGATGAGGTTCCTGGCTCACCTCTCTGCCACGCACCACAGAGCCTGCCTTCCCCCATCCTGCCCCTTCCTAGTGAAAAAGTGGGATTGTCTAAGAAAATGGAAGCTGCTCATTCCTTGAGTAAGAACGGGCAGCTAACCACAGAACTGTGAAAAGCTATGAGATTACACTGTGGAAAACATGTGATGATGAACCTTCAGGTTCCTAAAGGATCAACAAACCAAGAACTGTCCCATCTTCCCTGTTGGGTTCAAGAACTGTCCCACCCATGAAAACCACACACTTGGGTCACTGCTGTGGCTCCTGTTTCAAATGCCGTGACAACCTCGTCTCTGCAGGAACAGTGGCACTAATCAGACATATTCTCTGTCAACATTTCATGCAGAGTGTGACCAGTTTCTTTTAAACTACTTCAAAATCAGAAGCTTCCTATTCCTTGGTCCTCCAGATGGAGTTTTACAAAACCCACCAATGTGTAGCTGTGCTGGAGCCATATTCAGTATGCAGAAGCAATATTGCGAACACACTCCTGCCGAATGCAAAGCTGAATACAAATCCTGCCGGGTGGCAGAATGCCAAATGGAAGAACAAAGTTAAAGAGTTTAAGTGTTACAGAGGATAAGGACAGTCTTAAACTGATGCCTTCAATGGTCTCTCTGATGAGGTAATAATGATAATATCTGTCACTTTAATATCATTCTCCATCTGTCAGTTCCAGGATGTTTCACAACTTGTGTTATATACAGCTTTAGAACATGTCTGGTTTTATTTTGGCTTTACTAACGGGGAAGCTATGATACATTTCTTTTCATGGCTATTTTTTTTCTTCTGTTTGCATTTCGCTTATAAGCAGAAACTGAGCATCCACCCATATAAGTGTTTGACTGCAAGTTAAAAGACATAGTAAAAGCCGCTAATTCTGAGGTGTGTACCGATAACCCTTATTGGCACATGTTTAGTGCAGAAAGAGAACAGGGCTGTCTGGCTGAAAACAAGCTCCTAATGCCCTGCTCAAAGCTGCTAAGGTACTAAGAATAAAGCTAAAGTGCTTTAAACAGCAGACCATCGTTCTCCCCATCAGCTTAAAGCAAAAACAAAGCAAAGCATGCAATGCAGAATACAGTGATATCATCCCTGCACAGAAACACCTTACTGCAGGACAGTGTGAGTACAGTATCCTAATCACAGAATCACAGCAAATAGTGCTAGAAGGGACCTCAAAAGGTTATTTAGTCCAACACTTTATCTCACAGCAGGATTAGCTATACCTAAATCATTTCTGACAGATGTTTGTCTAACCTCTTCATAACCTCCCTAGGCAATTCTTGTGCTTAACTATCCTTACAGCGGAAAGGGCTTTTTTCCGTAATGTCTCACCTAAATCTCCTTTGTTGTAATTTAAACCTACTACTTTTTGCTCTGCTCCCAGAGGACATGAGGAATGTTTTTCTCCTTCTTTACAGAAAAGTTGTACACACTAGAAGGCTATTATGAATTTCCTTTCAGTTTTTTCTTCTTTAGACTAAACAACTAAACCTGAAGATTGAAAGACTTTTTTCATA